GTTTTTGGGGGGGTGGGGGGGGGGGGGGGGGGGGGGTAAGTTTTTACCACAATCTTTTGTGCTTTAATAGTGGTGGGATCCAAGAAAGGTATTGCTGTAGGATTACCCCTATACTGGAATCACTTCATGTCATTTGACTTCTTAAAATAGTGCAGTTAGATTTCATCCTGCTATCTTTATTTACTTTTTTGTTCTGCTGCTAAGTAACACTAATCATGCTTAATCTTAGTACGTTGATCATAATTCTACTTTGGGAAAAGATGAAAAGAAACCCCACCTTTGTGATTTAGATCTATATACCCTTTGTTAAATAAGTGACACATATATACGTTTACCGTTTAACAAATATAACATATTTACACTTCTTATTAACAAACTCATATTTATTGAATTGAAAAAAAATAATCATAAATTGGTTTTTAATTCCAAAAATATCATGTGTCTTTAAAAAAGTCCTTTTACCCCTCCAGACTTGGCCCAACCGAAGAAAATAGGTTATGTGATTTTTTAAAGCCACATAAAAATTTTGGAATTAAAAAGAAAATCAATTTTAGGATTTTTTTTTTAATTCAATAAGTTTGTAAGACGTCGAAAGTATATATATGCTACTTTTAATGAGAAGTACATTAGCTTAAATTGCAAAATTTGGGGTATATTTGTCTTTTTTCCCTTTTTTTTTTTTAGTTTTGATCTTTATGACAAGAGGTCAGGTTTCTCATATTGACAAGCATCCTCTACCTCGAACACTAAGATAGTAGGTTTAAGTCACAAAAGGTGGGAAGCTTCTTTTACTGGTTTTCTGTCCCGCACTTGGTTCTCCCTTATTATAAAAATGAGAAGAGAAAGAGAGACAAATAAGCAGAAGCTTCAAAGCAAACAGAGAGGCATAGTAATTGGTGTGTACTACTACTTCATGGATTGGAATTAATCATAGTTTGATATAGTTAAATTATGGTGAATCATTGTGGGGGTTGGGGGTTCAATTCGAAATGACAATATTTCTCCTTTTTTGTGTTGTTATATAATACGCACGGTACTAAAAAAGCAGAAATTAAGCAGGTGCATGATGGAAAAGAGAAAATGAAATATAGATATTTCTTAGAATGGCATACCAAAAATATGAACATTTAGTGAACTGAGAGCAATAATAGATGCATGTCACGTGTTTGCGTATAATTTTTTTTTAATCACTGAACTATAATAATTTATATACCTCTTACTTCATTTAATTATGAGATTGTAAATAAAACAGATGAAATTCTATTCTGATGCATTCTGTTCTGTATGATTCTTCAAGTGATCTTCATTTTCTTTAGTAAATGACTTACCTTCTGGAAAGCATTTAAATGCGATAATCCGAAACTTCAAATCTTGGATCAAACATGACCTCCTCAGAAATCCAAAGGGCTGCTCAATCCATTTTGACAAGCTAAACGAAAAACAGAATAAAAGACGCACAAATTTATTTCATGAAAGAAGATATAGTAATACTCCCATAAGAAAATCACAATTCAAACACTTTTATTTTCAGTCAACTCTACAATCAGCTCATTCAACGTTTGCCATGATGATCCACCTTCTTTTACAGCATTAATGGCTGCTTCTCCAATCTCCTTCACTTTCTTCCTTGCTTCTTTGCCTTTATCTCCTTCCATCAACTCCTTTGCTGACTTTTCCAGTCCTTCCCACTTCACGAACCCTCTCACTGACCCATCACACGTCTCGGCCCTTAGTCCAATCTTGATTACCTCCACCACCATTCTTGCATTCAGGTGTTGATCTGCCATCATTGGCCATGCCAGTATAGGCACCTTCGCGCATATGCTCTCTATCACTGAATTCCAACCGCAGTGGCTTAGAAAACCTTCAACGCTCCCGTGGCTCAGGATTTCTCTTTGATCAACCCACTCTGTTACCACCAGTCCCCTGTTTTTTACTCTGTTTTCAAACTCGTCGTCAGTTTCATCTATGGTTCTCCTGACTACCCATAAAAAGTTCACTTGGGATTTCTCCAACCCAATTTTGATTTCCTTGAATTGGTCAGGAGATAACTCTGCTTGGGTCCCAAATGCCACGTATAAAACTTGCTTCCCCTGTTCTAGCATTCCATCAAGCCATTTGATGTACGAAGGTTTCTCTGAGACTCCCTGTTGTTCTTTTGCCGGCTCGTGAAACGCACATAAAGGTCCAATGCACCATGATTTAGGACTAGATATACGGTTACAACAGTTTACATAAACAGATTCAAGCTCGTAAAAGCTGTTGACAAGTAGACCATAGCTTTTAGAGGTCGGCGTGGATTGCTCCTTGACAAAATCGAAAAGGGGGCCTTTGGGTTCCCGGTCTCTGAAGGGTAAATCAAAGTCATTCCTAGTGATTTTAATCCAGGGGAAATCAGGGACTTCAAATAGCTCATCATCAGACACTTGTGTCCTAAGAACTGAAGCAGCTGAAATCGTCAAGACCCTTGAAAATGCATTCATGCCAAAATAAACGAGTCTTGGGATACCAAATTTGTTTGCAGAATCTAAAGTCCAGCCGAGAAAGCCATCAGTGATCATGAAAGTAACTGGGGGAAGAGATTCCAAGGCCTTTTCAAAATGGGGTTTCATCAATTTAGTGGCATTGGCAAAAGTAGCAAAAAGGGACATGGATGGAAGTTTATCAGTGCTTTCCACACCTTGTGGAACTCCTTGTATGTTTTGAGGAAAAGGGATTTCGATGATATTGATGTTGGTGTCGGAAAGGGAATTGGAGAAGAATGGACGATTTGCAGGAGTGGTGAAGATGGTAATGGAAATTTTGCGGCAGAGAAGAAAGCGAGCAAGGTCGAAGATAGGAATTGTGTGGCCCTTGGACATGAAAGGGAAAACAACAACATGGATAGTACGAGGAGAAGGAGAAGCCATCTCTCTGCACTCTGCTCCTTCGATTGTTGATATTTTTGAGAATTTGGGATTGTTCTCATAAATAGATCCAATGTTTGGTAAATAAGAAAATATTTCTCAAGAGCATTTATATGTTATCTAGCTAAATATTATGAAGACGGGATGAGATGTAGAATGGGGGTTCGGGGGATTGAGTGGGTGGTGACGACTGACGGGATAATAAATTTGAAATGTTATCTATGCAACTTGTTTTCTTTGCATGCATTTAGGAAAATCATTTTTCTTATCTTTAAGGAGCTTGTTTTCTTAGAAAGATATTTTTCAAATATTTTAATAACCAAAAAACATTTTACTTTGTATCTAACACACCCAAAGAATCTGACACTATTTAAAAATCACAAAATTTAGAAAGAAATAAAGATTTTAAGATTTATTATCAAAATTTTTAAATGATTGTATGATTATAAGTGAAGAATGAAACGAAAATTTTAACGTAAAATTGTTTCTAAATATAAATGATGTGGCAACAAACATCCTATTTTTTTGCCATCTGATTCGGTATACAATTAACCATTTTCGGTATACAATTAACCATTTTATACATTTCGGTATAAAAATGTATAAAATGCGTTTGTGTTTGTATAAAGCGAGAGAAAAGTGTATATACAAATACAAATACATATATTTTCATCATATACACTTATACTTATACAAATACAGATCTTATTATACAAATTACAATGTATAAAATGAATTTAGACAAAACTGAACAATTTGTATAAAATTAGATGTATCTAGCGAATTATACAAATCAAAAAGCTCCATAGCAAACATAAAATTTGCTATGGAGCGCAATTATGCAAACTATAGCTATAACATACAAATATGATTTTTTATGTTTGCTATATGTGAAAGTTGCTCATAAAAGAAAGATTATTTTTTTTGAAATATAATGTATGAAACAAGCTATATAGTCAAAAAAAGAAAGATAATATATTCTTCGAAATAAAAAATAATAATCATTTTCATGTAAAATGGAAAAGAGATCGTAAGAATATCCTTCGAAGACGAATTTAGACCACACTTCGTGTTAACGTGAAATGTCAAGATCAATAATGCTAACTTTTTGGCAAATGAAAATGACATTTATGAAAAAAAAAATTGCTTATATTGAGAGAATGCAATAAATCAAATGAAAATTTAGCTTTAAGCAAATTTAAGTAGGGTCGGTTATAAATTAGTTAATTCATTCACTTTTACTCGTCATATTTAAATTTTTATTATTATTAACATAATAATGATTGACATGATTATTTTACTACACTATCCCTATTAATTTATATTTAATATTAGATTTTGAAAAACAATTTGAGGAATAAATAACTAATGATGCGAGGGTAAAATATGGAAAAAAATTTATCTTTTTTCACACGTTAAAAGTAATAAATAAAAATAATTTTTTTAGAAATAAGAAACAAATAAAAATAGACAGAGAAAATCTTAAAAACTTTCTAGTATGTCCATTGTTGATTGTACCAACAAAAAAAACAACGAAAAGGTACCATTTTCATTTAAGTAAAACTAAAACAGGTGAGATTCAATACATGGATCCATTTGATTATAGATGTTTTTTTGAAAAAATTAAAAATATTTGGGGGGGAAATTTGACAAATATTGTTTAGCCATATAGCTTGTCATTATTTAGCAATATTTGAAACAAGTTATATAATCAAAAAGGATAATATAATCTTCGAAATAAAAAGAAATTTCATTTTCATGTGAAATGAAAAGGAAATTGTAAGAATATCCCTCTAAAAGACGAATTTAGACCACACTACACGTTAGCGTGAAATGTCAAGACCAATAATGCTAAACTTTTGACAAATGAAAATCACATTTATCAAAAATTTTGCTTATATTGAGAGAATGCAATAAATCAAATGAAAATTTTATTTTAAACAAATTTAAGTAAGGTAGGTTATAAACTAGTTCATTCGTTCACTTTTATGATTATTTTACTACACTTTCCTATTAATTGATGTTTAATACTATTATATTTTAAAAAATGATTTGAGAAATAAATAACTAATGTATAAGGATAAAATATGGGGAAAAAAAATTATACTTTAATAATAATAAATAAAAATAATTTTTTTAAATAATAAACAGAAAAATCTTAAAACTTTCTTGTATGTTCATTGTACCTACAAAAAAAACACGGAAAGGTCCATTTTCATTTAAGTAAAACTAAAACAGGTGAGATTCAATACATGGATCCATTTGATTATAGATGTTTTTTGAAAAAATTAAAAATATTTGGGGGGAAATTTGACAAATATTGTTTAGCCATATAGCTTGTCATTATTTAGCAATATTTGAAACAAGTTATATAATCAAAAAGGATAATATAATCTTCGAAATAAAAAGAAATTTCATTTTCATGTGAAATGAAAAGGAAATTGTAAGAATATCCCTCTAAAAGACGAATTTAGACCACACTACACGTTAGCGTGAAATGTCAAGACCAATAATGCTAAACTTTTGACAAATGAAAATCACATTTATCAAAAAATTTACTTATATTGAGAGAATGCAATAAATCAAATGAAAATTTTATTTTAAACAAATTTAAGTAAGGTAGGTTATAAACTAGTTCATTCGTTCACTTTTATGATTATTTTACTACACTTTCCTATTAATTGATGTTTAATACTATTATATTTTAAAAAATGATTTGAGAAATAAATAACTAATGTATAAGGATAAAATATGGGGAAAAAAAATTATACTTTAATAATAATAAATAAAAATAATTTTTTTAAATAATAAACAGAAAAATCTTAAAACTTTCTTGTATGTTCATTGTACCTACCAAAAAAACACGGAAAGGTCCATTTTCATTTAAGTAAAACTAAAACAGGTGAGATTCAATACATGGATCCATTTGGTTATAAATATTTTTTTTTAAAATCAAAATATTTGGAGTAAAATTTGACAAATATTGTTTGTCAATATAACTTTGTCATTGTTTAGCAATATTTTAACAATCAAAAATTTCTAAATACTAGAAAAAAATAGTAGTTGCGTCAATTTCTATTATTGGGAACTTTTAACAATTTAAAAATTATCTCAAACTTTTATATCTCATAAAAACACTGATTATTTATAGATTTAGACTGAATTTAAATGTCAGTTTATCGTATAAATTATACAATTATATACATATTTTATACAGTTTTATCCAAACTCGCTCTCCAAGTTACTTCTAATTATAAATAATAATAGTAGTTTTTCGCATATAATCAACAATATTTTTCTTTTGTTTTCTTCCTCTTTTTCAATTTATATTAGTTGTATTCATTGTTATGATTCTTCATTGAGCATGTTCACTATAAAATGATAGTAATACAAATTTATAAATATTTGTAGTGGAACCGAGTTGGATTCATAAGGACCTATGAGCTAGAATTGGTGAAGGAGACTTGATTTAGTTAGAGTTATTGAGTCAAGTAAAATATTGGAGAGTTTTGTGTGTTAGAAAGAAGAATTTCATGTGTATTATGTGTAGTTTTGGATCAGTTTGTGATTCTCTTGCCCCCTTTCTATGGCTTAGTTCTCATCCCTTTCTAGTTAGCTTCTTCCTCAGTTATTCTAGAGTTTTCCCATTAATATTGTTCACTATTACTTTGTAGCTCTAATTCTTAGTTGTACTTTGATTCAGTGAGTATTATATATATTAGTATTGTGATAAGAAATTCGAGTTATTACAATAATTTTAATAGTTTAAAATTTTATGGATATAAATCATTTTTTTTTTAAAAAAAAACAAATTTTCTTCTCAAAATTATGATCAACTGCATAATAAAACTTCACTCAAAAATAACTTGTCACAAATATTTAAACATTAGCTTAATTAATTATAAGCTATAAATGGAGAGGTCTATTTTCATTAAAGAAGACTATGCCCGTTTGGATTGACTTAAAAAAAGTAACTTTTAAAAAGTAACTTTTTAAAGTGCTGGAACTTATTTTTAAAATAAGTAGTTATGTGTTTGGATAAAAGTGCTGCAGTTGAAAAAAAAGTTGTTGATGTGTTTGGCAAATAAGTGCTGGTATACACTTTTTTTTATCAAAATGTCTGAAATACCCTTTAAGCTGTTAACATGATAAAAAGTTGATTAATTTAAGGTTTTTATACTTAAAAA